GAATGGGCTAAACACTTTTATCCACGGACAACCTCGGGCTGTTGGCAGAGTTTGTCCTGGGTGAGCCATCTTTCTGGAGAAGCCCCCATCTTCCTGCCCTACTCTCTCCCTCACCTCCTGCATCTTTCCTGGTGAGGGCCAGGTCTGTGGGGAGCTGGGGGAGGAGCAGGAGGACCCTAGATGGAGGAAAAGAGGAGGGACCCTTGGAGGATGCACAAGTCAATGTGCATTTCTTGACAATGTTGCCAAGGACCAGTGCTGTGTAATCAGAAGACCCAGTGATTTGAAACAAATCAGGACTGAGTGGAGGAGACCGTCTTCAGCAGCGCATCACCATCTTATTGGGAAAAAAAAAAAAAAAAAAAAGTCCTTGGTGGATTTAGCTTCACACAACTACATATACTTATTTGTGAAATTCCAGAATCTATCAGACTCCCAGATCGGTCCTGTATATTTAGATACCATTATTGTACCCTGAAAGCTACTCTTTTTATTTCTCTTTATTTACTGAGTGCATTGAATCCTGTTTGTTCTGTTTATTTTGGGTGATATTTGTTTTAGTTTTATGCTCTTTATTATTTCCTATTGATCCTTCTGTTCATTATTTATTGTGCATTCATCTCCTCTCTCCTGAGTAACTTCAAGACAAAGTTATTTCAGCACAAGACAGTGAGTGGTTATGATGGGTGACACACACAAAGACATTCACCAGTTCAAATTAAGACATTGTTCCAGGGAGTCTGACAGACGAGATCACTGCAGCCAACAGCACTGTGGTAAGAGCAGGTGCTAGACTTTGTTTTCCCACCCCATAGAGCTAAGGATGAGGAAAAGGGCAGATGAGGAGGGAACAGGGAGGAGAAGACTGACTCCTGATGCCTACCTTTGGTTCTCCCCTGGACAGTTGGAGGTTAGGGAGCAGGATGCTCAGTGGGGGATGCTCTTTGGTGGTTAGCACCCTTGGAAGGAGGAGAAAGCAGCAATCCTGGGCTTCCTGGAGGTCCTAAACAGCCTCAGCGAGGCACAGGGTGCTTGCAGTTGAATCACTCTCCTTCTGGACTTATATACATTCTTGTGCATTAGTCCTTAGTGTGGTCTGCCCTGGGAAGTATGACTGCGGTGGGTGGGGGGTGGCTGTCTGGAGCTAAGAATTCCCTGCAAGAGATTGACAGCAGACACTACCCTCTGGCCAGTCCTTCCATGAAGGGGCATCTTTGTGGCACATTCCACGTCCACCAGGAATGGCTGGACTATCAGGAGTCCCATGGTCTGACTAGGGCATTGGCCATAATGACCTGCTTGAGCCACATAAACACGCTGGGCTAATTTCCTCATTTCTCATCCACATTGTTGGGAATAGCTCTTCAAAGTCTATAAACTACTTTCCTTTCCCCCCTGTTCACCTGGTGAAGTTCACAGGAAAGGGACTCATGCTCATTGAAAAGTTTCAACAACTGGGTTTATGATATTTAAGTGATTTGTCAGGTTACATGATCATGTGAGTGGGGGTAGAATTCCAAGTCCAAGGCCAGACCCCTTTGGATTATGCCAAGAGGGGAAGGATTGCAACCTCCATATCCCAGTAAACCTGTAGGATCATCGAAAGAGATCATGGGAATAAGAACATTTTGAAAAAAATGATTCAACAGTCCTTTAGGTAGAAATAGTACCAACTTGCCATTATGTTGGTATAATGGTGATGAATTGGTTCCAAAGTAAAGGTCAGTAGTGACTGTACCCACCTACAATCATATCTGACAGGAGTCCTCTTTTCTCTTGGCTGGTGGACATCCAGTATCAGTTCCTCCCGAGTTCCTCCCCTTTCCTGCCACACACTGGGTCACACAACATCCCACAGGATCTCAGGCTGGTGCATTAGGCCTTAGTGTGGTCTCCCCATTGCTGGAGTACTTATCAGTCCTCCTGTACCCTACTCCCCATGTCTACTGTCCCAGCAGCCTGTAGATAGCCCATCAAGGGTCACCACCGGAGCTGACCCTGTCTCGTTCTCAGTGTCCTAGTGGCCAGATCGTAAATGCCCAGATACCCTCCCACTATATCTTACCTGTGGTTGTTGTTCATCTCAGCCTTGGTGAAAGCCACCACCCCTCACTTTACCCATCTGATGGCAGCTTTGTCTTGGCGGCTCCCAAATCCCGAATCCTAAATCTGCTCAGTGGCCAGCACTCCCCGTTCCTTCCAAAGCAACTTCCTGTGATTCCCTCCTCTGGGGAGGTATTTCCAAAAGTGCCTTCCACCTGGAAAGGTGTTGTCAATGCAACATGGGGGAATTGCCTCTTTCCTCAAACGTAAAATCTTGCTTTTTAAGGGGAAGGTGGGAAATGAGGGAGAATCAGCTTTTATTCTATTTCAGAAAGAAAACAAAGTAAAAGTATCCATAGACTATGCTTTTCCTTCAACTTTGGTGACACTCAGGTGATTTCGAAGGCCAGGTGCAAGGCTGTCTTCCATGTTCAGCTTCCTTCCTGTTAGGGGGTCTCTAACTTTGTGCCCTCCACACTCAAGCTGGCAGAGCACAAAGAGGGTCTTGGGTTCTGAGTGAGAAGATTTGTATCCAAGTCACACATCTTACCCCCTGTGCACTTTCAACAAATCTGTGAGCCTTGGTTTCCTGGCTTCCTAATATGAGTAAAGGTCTGCATAAGACATATCTGAGTTGTGGGAGAATTAAAAACCATAGTGTTTGAAGAGGCTTCCCAAAATGTAAGCTGTTAGCCAAGTCCTTGTGAAGAGTGAGGCGAGAAGTGGGATGTGGGACTCTGAGAAACAAAGCTGCACCGAACTGGTAGCCAGAGGGTCAGAAAATCCAGTGGCCAGATGGTGGCAGAGTGCAGAGAGAACAGAGGTTCAGTGACATCAGCCATGGAAGGACAATCTCAGAGGACAATTTCTGGGGCCACAGTGAGGGCAAACATGTGACAGCAGAGAAAGGAAAGTAATAGCAAATACCATCATGGACTGAGTCTACTATGTTCACAGTTGTCCACTATCCTGAACATCTAAACCTTCCAACACAGTGTTCATGCCTCTGCTTTCGATATCAACATGCCCATTGTATTAGGGCTCTCGAGAGAATCAGAACAAACAGGATGTGTATGATTTTTTATAAAAAAACTAGCTCTCACAATTATGGAAGCTGAGAAGTCCCAAGATCCACAGAGTGAGTGGGTAAGCTAGAGAAGAAACTAGGAGCTGTAGTCCCAGTCCAAAGGCTGGCAGGCTCAGGACCCAGGAAGATCTGATGGTTCAGTTTTAATTTTAAAGCAGGAAAAAACAAAACAAAACAAAAAACTATATCCCAATATGAAGGCAGGCAAGCTGGAAGAATTCTTTCCTATTCAGGAGAATGTCAGCATTTTTCTCTATTCCGACCTTCTACTGATTAGATATGGCCCACCCGTATTAGGGAGAGCAATTAGCTTTACTCAGTTGAGTAAATTTTTAAGATTATTGATTGATTGATTGATTGACTGATTGATTTAGAATGGGAGGAGGGACAGTGGGAGAGAGAGAATTCCAAGCAGACTCCATGCTGAGCATGGAGCCCAATGTGGGGCTCAATCTCACGACCCTGAGATCGTGACCTGAGCTGAAATCAAGAGTCAGACGTATGGGGCGCCTGGGTGGCTCAGTTGGTTAAGCGACTGCCTTCGGCTCAGGTCATGATCCTGGAGTCCCGGGATCGAGTCCCACATCGGGCTCCCTGCTCGGCAGGGAGTCTGCTTCTCCCTCTGACCCTCCTCCCTCTCATGCTCTCTGTCTCTCATTCTCTCTCTCTCAAATAAATAAATAAAATCTTAAAAAAAAAAAAAAAGAGTCGGACGCTTAACTGACTGAGCCATCCAGGTGCCCCAGTTGATCAAAACATTAATCACATTTAAAAAACACTCCCACAGAAGCTCCCAGAATATTGTTTCAAGTATCTGTACACTCTGTTACCCAGTCAAGTTGACACATAAAATTAACCACCATACCCACTTTACAGATACTCTAAGTAACTTATCCAGACCACATAGCTACCAAGTTGTTAGCAAAGATTCGAACTCAGGTCTGTGTGCTTTCAGCTACTCTAGGTCCAGGCTCATTTATGTAAATCATAACGGTTTAAATTAAATATTAAATCTATTTAATATAAGTATTATTAAAATATTATTTTAATGTAAATAACAATAATACAATTTTAATATTTAAAACATTAAATGTTTAAATTAAAATACTATTTTCTAGTTTCTTCCTATAAATGCCTCCTCACTTTTTTATTCCATAAATGACCAGAAAAGTGGAACTTCTTTAAATGTCTGATATAGGACAGAGAATAATTAAATTATTTAAATTTAAGCCTGAGAACTATGACTTTGGCAATTAATCTCATATATGCTTTTTTTTAATGCTGTCTATAGGTAATAAGCATCTGGAAGGATAGGCATTCTTTTATTTAACATTTTATTGAATATTTTATCCCCAGCACTCAGAACATGCTTTCCTATGTTTGCTCCCCACCAATGCATATTTGCTAAACTTTGCATGATCAAATAACTACATGAATAAATAAATGAGCAACTTTCAATTTTATCTAAAAATTATCCTGAATGTAGCAAATTTAGAAAGCTCTATAGTCACTACACATACATTGAGAGAGAAATCCCCCTGAGTACTTGGTGGAATGATCATGATTTCTAGATTTGCCATTGCTACTGGTGAATAAGTTCAGATGGAGAAGCTAAACTGTATCACATATTATTTCTAGCTTCTGACACTGCTGTTATAAGATATGATCTTGCTGTTTGATGGCCTTGCATTAATTATTCACAAGCTCTTATACTTCATTTTCTTTGCATTATTAACCTCTTAGAACATGTCCCATTTTCCAGAGTTTAGTAGGCAAGCAGTCATGACGGGAAATGCTGTGAGGATAAAGCACTATTTTATGGTATCTCTTTGAGTCTTACCTACTAATGGCTTTATTTGGTTTCTTTCAGTGAAAAAGGCAATTGAACTGAAGTCAAGAGGAGTCAAGATGATGCCCAGCAAGGACAGTAGCCATAAAAACTCTGTCTGTAAGTCTTCTTTCTTTTTATATGAGGATTGATATGTCAATTGGGGGGGACACAGAGGAGAGAATGGATGGGTTCTAAAGAAGTAATTCTATAAACTTTTCTCGCTTCATCTCTTGCTACTTTACTACCTCCAAAAGTATTTTCTGAAAGAAAGAATATGCACTGGCTTCCCATTGTTGGGGAAGAACGTCATGTTGACAGTCTCCTAAATGAATGTCCTAAATGTATCTCAAATCAATCTTCACGCTGTGTCCTCCTTGGTCACTGTGAGGCTGGACCTTCCTATTTCTCCCGTAAGTGTTCCCCTGTCAGGTGTTTTGATCCCAGTTTCCCTCATCATTCCTATACATACCACACACACTGATTGATGTGTGGGATATAGAAGTCTGGTCTTATCATTTTCCTATTAAAATGTTCTGAAGAACTGGTCTGAAGAATAAAATAGCTTCACTACCAGAAGTGTTCTCTCTCCTTCCACTGAATGCAGAACCCCAAGCAATGCTTAGAGTCTCCCCCCAACGCCTTTGAAGCCTTCGCGGACTCTCCCAAGCAGTTAGCTCTTCCCTGGTTTTGTTTCCCTGGTGTCATGTTCCTACCTTTGTTACAGCATTTACTTTGTCACAGTTCACTGTGGGTTTGCCTGTCCCACTAAATGCAGATCAGCAAGCTCCATCAGCCTGTACCCAGGTGGGTGTTTTTCCGGGGCCGTCCTTTCCCATGCACCATGGTATTTTTAAGACGTTCAAGCTGTTGGGTTGCCTTTTCTGTTCTTTCCTGGTGATTTCTTTTAGTGTCCCTACTTACCTGCTCTCTTGGTGCTCCTTGTGCAGCGTTTGGGATCCATGCATTTTATCTCTTCTCCCACTGCCTAGCATTTAGTAGAAGCGGGAGCCCAGGATGAACATCTTTTGCTCCTGCATCTCAACCAACTCTATTTTTATTCTTATGATATTGGGCTTCTGCAGGAAGTTTTATCCATGACAAATATTCCACAAATCTAATAAACAAACAACAACAATATACATCTTTTAAAAATCACTTTGTACGTTGACCTACCTCGGTTTTCTCAATATCCCTATTCTATGGTGTCCTACTCATTGTTTATGTAACAATGGTCCATTGACTGTGTGATGACCCTATTCCCTGGCACTTGAAAAAGACAGAGAAATAGACATAGGCCCCTAGGATGTAGGTGTCAAATACAGGGCGTGACTTAGATCTTTCAGGCTATCATAACAAAGAGAGCATTTCCTGTCTCTTTTTATAAGGGCACTAATCCCATCATGAGGGCTCCAGATCATGACCTACTGACCTTCCAAAGGTCCACCTCCAAGCACCATCACACCGGGGGTTAGGATCTCAATGAAGCAATTTTGAGAGGTACAAAGATTTAGTCTATCGGATGGCGGATTCCCTAAACTCCAACTAACTTATGGTGGATTCCCTAAACTCTGACTAACTCGGGCCCTTAGGTCCCCCCCGCCACACACACACACAAATCAATCTGTAAATATTTTCACTAGACTTTCTGTGTGATAATCATGGAAAGTGTCATTCAAATTAAATTGGACTAAAAAAGTAAGGATGGAATCCAAAGGAAGGCAGAAAACAACTGAAGAGCAGAGGAAGAAAGGAAGGGTTTTAATAATAAAGTTTTAATATTTTTTATTGTTAACTTCTAATTCTGGATGTTTAATAGGGTGGGGTATGTGGTACTTATAGTAATTTTGAAATTTATTTTTTATAGTTGAACACCTTACAGAAATGACCCTCAGCGATGTAGAACCACATGGCAGATGAACCCCTCTATAAAATCCTTCTTAGGTCTGACATTGAACTTACCTGCTAGAGCCACACTTAGGCAGAAGCTTTCTTTGTAAGAAGGACATCTCTCTGTCCTTATCTGAACAGGACATGAACTGACCAATGCCTGCTTACTCATTTGGTGCAAGAAAACATTCTGTCCTTTCTCCCAATGGTATTCAACTTTTGTTTTTGGTCAGACATGAGACTTAATTATTAGAAAAAAAATGAGGATTGAAGAACCTGAGGGCCTTCTAAGGTCAGCGATGTAATAAGTGATAAAAGGTTAGTTCCATGGAAGGTGTGTCTGGAAAAACAAGTGGTGTTTCCTAGAGAAATGGACATGGGTTTTGAAGCTAGAGAGACAGGATTCAGTGGCTGTAAATGCATGGAGGATTGCCAAGTCCAAGTTTCATCATTTATGAAGTTAAGGCAATAATGACTTTTGTCCAGTAGATAAAGCAAGGTGTTTGTAGATTGCCCATTCCAGGATGTGGCATAGGATGGGAATTCAGCAGACCAAATCCATCACAAACTTTTCATCTAGAAATTCAAAGAGGAGAAGAATATAAGTGGAAGGTCAGCCAGGAATTTACATGGCATGGAGGGTCTTACTCTAGAGAGGAGGAGGTAAGATTGAGACCACTGAACTTATTTCTATGATCTTAGATAATAGTCTGGCCAATAATCAGAGGTGAGCCTAGAACACAGAACTCTCTAGCATCCCTGCTTTATCTTAAGAGCTGGGTTCTCATGTAGATCGCAGGCTCTGATGTTCTCTGAATTAAATCCAAGCATACAAGTATCTCTTGTACAATGTACACAATTATCCTGACCTTCGTTCCTCCATTTGAGGGTTTTGGTAAAAGAATAACAAAATACCCATTAAAGATGCTTAGCGCAGGGTCTGACAGCCATTGCTGGCTCTTCTCCCACCTCACCCTCTGCTGATCTCTGTCTTAGTGTTTTTCATTCTATTTCGACATGTTTTTATGTTGTGCCCATGTCTCTCTTCTTCATGAGATCCCACACAGAGTAAGGGATGTGACAGCCATGCCTGCATGGTTACCCTTTTTTTCCAGAATCTTGGACAGTGTCTGCCGTGCAGTGCTCACACAGGCGTACCTAATGAATGCCAAGCATGAACAGACCCAGTAACAGTGGTCCACTCATGCACCCAGGTCATGTCCATAGCAAGAGGCATGTAGCAGCTGAAGGAAAGCAGAAACATGAGGCCTCCTGTTACCTCCTGCAAAGTCCCCTCAACCCAGCTCTGCTCCAAGGTGCAAAGGTCCAGAGTCACAGCTCTTCTCAGACAGACTGATCCTACATGACCCTTTCCCTCTGGATTTAGGCTCTAATATTTTTCCCCTTGTTGCTTCCAGCCTAAAGGCTGAGAATAGCCCAGCTCTTAGTTACTAGGTCGTGAGTTCCCATACTATGCCTGGTGGCATCTCTGGATTTACTCTCATATAAACAGCCCCTTTGTAAGTAATCCTGCCTTATATGATTCTCCTCCAGAGTGGCTCTTGTTTCCTGTTGGGAGCCTGTTGAAGATGTTAGAAACTGCTCAAGATTCTAGTCAACCACAGAGGGCAAACTACCCAGAGATTCAGGTGTTTGAAAAGAAACAAAGGAACAAAACCACTAGACAAGGCAAGGAGTCATGCCTTCTAGCAATATCCATCCAAGGCTAACCAAGTGCTAGGAAGAGAGACAGAAGCCCTGGCTAGAGAAAAGAAAGGATGTGACAGACGACCTCAAGGGGCTCGAGGTTTAATGATGGAAGTCTGGTATCATGATAGCAGTTAGATCATGACAGTACTGAAATGATGTCAGATGTACAGTGTTTTATAGCAAGAGTAAGTAAGGATTTTATAACTTGCACATTAAGAAAGCTTATACCAATCTATAGTAGCTGGTACTTAGGTTAAAAACAGAGAACCCATTGTTTCATTTGAAAATAAACAATGCAGGGGCGCCTGGGTGGCTCAGTCGTTTTGCATCCGCCTTCGGCTCAGGTCATGATCTCAGGGTCCTGGGATTGAGCCCCATGTCGGGCTCCCTGCTCAGCGGGAAGCCTGCTTCTCCCTCTCCCACTCCCCCTGCTTGTGTTCCCTCTTTCGCTGTCTCTGTCAAATAAATAAAATCTTAAAAAAAGTGGGGGGGGCCTGGGTGGCTCAGTCGTTAAGAGTCTGCCTTCGGCTCAGGTCATGGTCCCAGGGTCCTGGGATCAAGACCCACATCAGGCTCCCTGCTCAGCAGGAAGCCTGCTTCTCCCTCTCCCACTCCCCCTGCTTGTGTTCCCTCTCTCACTGTGTCTCTCTCTGTCAAATAGATAAATAAAATCTTTAAAAAAAAAAGAAAATAAACAGCGCATATGTCTGGATATATCACACGGTCCGGATTCCAGCCTCTTAGCACATCTCCTTCTGGGCCAGTGTGCATTTTCTTCCTAGGCCTGCTTTGATTATCCATTTGGTCCAAGATGAACTCTGTGAGAGCAGAGTTCTCCTCAGGGAACCCCTTCCCAGCTGCCGCCCTGCACGGGATTACGCATTGCGCTTCCTCATCCTCAGATAGTCCAAACTAACAAGCACTTAGCATGTATTTACCTATTAGAGGAAAAAGGGAAAACACATAAAAAGCTCATTTTCCCTGTTGTGGAACAAAAGCCCTACACATTCTTTGTTTTACTCTTCTAGATGGAAGACATCACTCAGGGAAAGCAAGAAGGATTTGCTCTGGAATCACTACGTTGGTCAGTTTATTCAGCCAGCCTTGATTTCATGTACCAATTAACCCTTAGTAATTCACATTAATCCTTAACATGCATAAACTTAATCACATAGGGTGGGGTGGTGACATAAACTATGGAGATGTCTCAGCCCTCTACATAACGAGGGCAATTGATTCCTACATTCACTCTTAAATTAAATGACATAGAAGTTTATTTTTTTAATCAGGCTCATTCATTATTGATTAATAATGTTTTCAGAAAATCTCCAAGATAATGAAGGTATTAATTCTGCCTATTGCTCTAAATTTCTAATTATTTTAAGCTTTGAAAAGATTGCAACATAAATGGGGGCATCATGCAACAGAAGGGCATCTGCAATAAGCTCAGTGAACATCCCATGCAATCCTCCTTGCTCTCCCTGAGTGATGTCGGCCTCTCCTTTATTCTGAGATTGGAT